TCCGACCTCTGGACGTGAATGTGAGATCCCATCGAAACGACGCGGGGCCGTTAACTCTCGTCTCACACTCAGTGGTCTCTCGTTTTGTATGATAACCATAGGATTGCTTTGCGTCACGGCAAGGTAATTCAGGAATTTTTCTTGAAATCCGGGTTTCCTTATGACTGTACTTGCTTTCAGACGACGTCGTGCCGGTCCTTTGCCTTCCTCAGAAGACACCTGGTATCGAGTGTTCCAGCCAGCGCAGACGAGAGCGGCCAGGTTCGTTCATAGCCTCGAATGTGGCGGCATAACGATGTTCATTCTGCACTTTTAGATGTCGACACGATTTAATGTGCGGCGGGTCCTGGATCCCACGTGACAGAGCGCTGCTGGTGGCCCCAGGTCGAGCTGCTTTGCTTCATAGCAACAGTCGGAACTCAACGTGAGAACGACTATTTCCTTTCCTGTTATAGCCTAAGATTGTGAGAACCTAATGTGTTGTTTTCAGTCGAGGGCGACGGATGGCCACGCCTCCACCAAGCTACACGTCAGTGGACAGTTTAGCAGAAGACCAATCACCGCCCACATACGAAGAAGCTACACGAATTATGGAAAACTCTACGAATAGTGCGGCTCTGATCCAAGAGCTGATCGACGAAACCGTGCAGACGGTTGAAGCCAAAGACGAGTCATTACAGGTAGCCGAGGGCAGTACCAACGCTACTACCCAGACAACAAATCAAGACGAAGAGGGTGCTAACACAGCGAGCTCATTCTGATTCTAGTAGGTGAAAGCCTCGAGCACCGCACTTGTGTGCACTGGCAAGAGAAATGAACGAACACTAGAGGATTGATCTTTAATGTCAGTCCTCTGTATGACTTTTGCCAGCGATCACTGCAAAATAAAAAGGCAGGGTGCTATATGATTATCTGCCAAAGTGACTAAATGTCTGTTCCATCCTCGTTCCCACAACAGTAGTCCTTCCTTCAGTGTTCGCACCTGGTACGGTACAGAGAGTAATGAAGTGTGATTTCAAGAGAAAACAGCTTCAATCTCCGATAAAAACCCCAGTAGGCGATTGATGACCTCTTTGGACCAAGCGGTCGTAGTACAGTAAGCGCAGGCGTCGTGACATTATGACGTTTTTCAGGAATGATACTGAGATCAAATAGATTTCTTGTTAATAAGTCAGCATAGAACACTGAGTCGTCTTCAGAAGGCCATCGAAATGCAAATAACAACTCAATGAGGGTAAAAACACTATCCCCTAAACACGGTATGAGACCGCGGGAAGTTCCTTCCACTTGAGTGCCAGGGCGAATCCCTCCCAGCTGTGCGAGGTGCTGCTCACTAGCTCGCTGACCTTGTCAGCGAGGTTGCGTATACCCCCAAAATGGGGTTCTCCTGAGATTGCCTGTACTTATATGCAGTGGGCACGATGGCTGTGGGGCGATCGGTTGTCGCTGACATTGTTGGTGGAAGGGTTGAGTGAGTTGCGGCCAAACGCCCTTTCGCAACCTTTCTACTAATGACGCTGACCCGCTTCCAGCAATCGTGGTCCCGTCCTCTAAAAGCCCCTATCATAAGAACGGGTAGAGGTGGTAGGTAGAAAATTGTTTGATGCGAGGATGTTGCAGGCATTGCGTATTTCTTGACCTTTAGGATATCTCAGTCGATGCATAAACTTCTGGAATGGCTGTCAGTATAGGATTTATTTGGAAGCATTTAATTTGAATATTTCTGAGGCAAATCTGTTTTTTTAATATTTATCTACAAAGACACCAACCCAACATAGCTTCAATCCCAAAAAAGCCACAGTGTCTCCTTTTGCGGCAATTTCTCTTTTCTGGAAGTTCACATCTTACATGCTTTTCAAGTAGGGGCAGCCGAGAGGGGGTCAAGTTTTCCTATGCTGATCGGCATGCTTGTCCAACACCCGGCACAGCCCGAGGAAAAAAAATCTGAAATCCTTACACTAGCTGTGCTTTGTGGGGAGTGCCTCGTATTTTGCATCCAATAATATTTGAAAACGCTTTCAAAGTTTATTTCCAATAATATACCACTTACGTCATTCAGTGTATTCGGGCTTTTATTGAAGATGTTCTGCACAGTTCAATTTCCCCTGTACCCAGAAGTTTAACGCGTGACAAACGATTCCCAACTGTTTTTTCTTCATCTGTTCTGTGGAGGCGGTTCACTCGGACGAGGCCCTCGGAACCATCTGATCCGCTGAGCCGCTCAAGCGGCAAATGTGCTTGCGTTTTGCGGATTCAGCGCTTTTCCAGGTAGCAAAGTCAGGGTGTAACCTCCTCCAATCTAATCGGCATTGCCATTTCCCGAAAACATCGGATATCCGTGTAAATATTACCTGCTTGCGAGGTTTCCTTAGGCCGGTATGTCTGCGTTTTTAGACGTTTCACTAATTGTTCCCTTATTCACGTGTGTGTCCTTTTTCCTCTTTACACTCATAGTTCTTCTTCCCTTGAATGCTGAGCCTTTTCATTGAAGCTTTTTTGTAACCTTTAATTTCTCTATTACTTGTAGATTTTTTTAATATTTGTGAGATCCATGCCTAATAGATCACAAGTGCATTGGGTTCATTGTATCTCTTGCTTTTTGTATTGATTTTTATATGTATTTGCTCTCGCTATTTACTTCTAACCGTTTTTATCATGACCATCAAAATGTATTTTTACCTTCAAACGGGTCTCATAGATTGTTATTTTTTGAGAAATTGTTCTTTTAAAGAAGCATTAATATGTGAAATAAAAGTTTCTATTGAAGTGCTTGGAGCCATGTTTGTTCATTGTTTTTTCTTTTTAGATAGTGCTTTGTAAGCTGATTAGATAGCGGTCGTGGTCAAAGTGCCGAGTTTCAGCGGAAAGAGGTTTTCTGAGTTTTCGGGGCACTAATAGTTGGAAGTACCAATGACCGTTTACATTCGGGAACACATACTTATGAAATTTCGTTCTGAACAATCCTGTGAAATTCTTCGAACAAAGGTTGACGAGGCTGTTAAAATGGCCGCCGATGGAGCTTGTACTAATCCATTCGGGGAATCGTGTAAGGATCCATTCAGGCTCCTTTGCCTGAGTTCCCATAAACAACTTCTTATATACCTGTCACAACCTAAGACAGGGTGATCCAGTGTCTGAAAGTGCCGCTTGCAAACGCTGACGCTGAATTTTATTTATTTAT